TCCTGCCCTCAGGTGCTTTGGACTCCTTCTTTGTGGCAACTCTTGAGATATTGGAATACTGCTATCATGTCACCTCTAGTCCTTCTCCTCAAAAATTGTATTTCTCAGCAGATTCCACGCACCTGGAGGTGTGCTAGGAGGCTTAAGGACTATAGTGGGATCATATGTGGTGATCCAGAAAGAATTCTTATAGTCCTTGATTTACAACAATTAGTTCAGTGACTATTCAAAGTCACAACTGCACTGAAAAAAGTGACTTACGACCTTTTTCACTTATGACTGTTGCAGCATCCCCATGATCACATGACCAATATTTGGACGCTTGGCAATCAGTTCATATTTAGGAGGGTTGCAGTGTCTCCAGGTTATGTCACCCATTGTGACCTTCTGACAAGAAAAATCAATGAGGAAGCCAGATTCACTTAACAACCATACTACTCACTTAACAACTGCTGTGATTCCACTTAACCACTGTGGCAAGAAAGCTTGTAAAATGGGACAAAACTCACTTAACAACGGTCTCCGTCAGCAACAAAAACGTTGGCCTCAATTGTGGCTGTAAATCAATGGCTACCTCTATTTTTTTAACAAGGCAGCTTCACCTGAGAATGGGCTAGAAATTTTGGTCTGCCCTGGGTTTCAGGAAATAGGATTGCATCTTTAAAGCAACTGCAAAAAATAGAAATGAGGGAAATATGAGGCAGCTTTCAGTCTGTGGGAATAGAGGCCGCTGCTGGCAGGAGGCCCATCAGAGTTTGTAAGAGCCAAAACTGGAATGTTTTGTCAAAGTCCCTCTGGGATCTGAATTGCATTTTTCACCCAATTGCTCTCAGAATGGAACTTCTTAATAAAGTTGACAAAGCTAAACCACAACCTACTGATGAGATTGTCATCTGGGTCATTCCTAAAACATGTAGGCAGCCCAAGGGCCAGGTTTTCAAATTCTTAGGGGAAAAAAAGTCTAATGTATTATTTTTCAACCTGAGCCACTTTAAGATGGACAGACTTCAACTTCCAGAATTCCCCAGCCAGCATGAATTTTGGGAGTTGAAGTCCACTCATCTTAAGTGCCTCAGGTTGAGAAACACTCATCTTCTGATATCATTACAAGTAGTCCTCAAAGTACAAGCACAATTGAGCCCAAAATTTCTGTTATTGAGACATTGGTTAAGTGAGTTTTGTCCCATTTTATGACCTTCCTTGCTACAGTTGTTAAGTGAACCTCTGCAGTTGTTAAGTTAGTAATCCGGTTGTTAAGTGAATCTAGCTTCCCCCATTGCCAGAAGGTCGCAAAAGGAGATCACGTGACCATGGGACACAGCAACGGTCCTAAGTATGAACCCGTTGCCAAGCATCTGAATTTTCATCATGTGATCATGGGGAATTCTGCCAAAGTTGCAACTATGAAAAAGTCACTTTTTTTCAGTCCTGTTGTAACTTCGAACAGTCAACTAAATGAACTGTTGTTAAGTCGAGGGACTACCTGTTCTTTCACCCAACTTTTAAATGGAGGTGTCTGTGCAGTGGGGAGATCCCCGTTTCTCTTGCAAAGCAGGAAGTACAAGAGAAGAGACTCCAAATAGGGGTTTTTAATGCTAGGATTTGGGGGAGGGGGGGAGGGCGCCATTAAAAAATCTAGAGCTGGATGTTCCCACCCTGCAACTGAGTATGAAGTTGGTGTCCTCTACCTCCTCCTTCAAGTCTTCTTATTTATCCTCAGCCAGGCAGCACGTGCTACCTTGTTGGACTTTCGGCCAGCTAGCTGTCACCGCTCCATTTAACTGTGGCCCACTTTTGGAAAATAAACTGTTCATCCGTTGCCTCTCTTCCCCCTCCTATCCAGTAACTTGATTCATGGCTTCCAGTTGGGCACTTTCCTGGGACATATTAACCCCCTTCTTGTTGGGAGACCCACCAAAGTGCTTGGAGAGACTTCCTTTTGTGGGTCTGGAGAGGCTCCCCTTTTCAAGAGCTTTATACAATTCCTGTTTATGCATCTGCCAGAAGGTGTTGAATGAGATGGAGGGAGCCATTTTGCTGGGGCTTAAAGCCAGCCGCCTGTTCCATCTCCCTCCTCTCCTCCCCCCCTCCCCAAATTATCTGGGGAAACTGCCAAGGAACTGGAACTTAAGCCAAAGCTGGAGCTATAACCAGTCAGACCAGAATATGGGACACTGCCCCTCCCCCAATTTTCATCAGGCAGCACGCTCATGTGCCAAGTTGGGGATTAATAGCTTTAAGAGGCACTACAGATCATACTTGGCTGTAGAGGCAAGCACCAGGACAAATTGCACACGGTCTTCTTTCTGCAGCTGAGTTTTCTGCAGGGGTGGTTAAACTGCAACATAACCGGCGAGATTTATTTACTCTTGTTCTGCATCAAGTTCCAATCAACTCATAGAGAATTGGGATCATCTTCTAAGCCAGGAGTCTCCGAACTTGACAACTTTAAAACTTGGAGACTTCAACTCCCAGAATTAGTCAGCCTATCATGTCTCAAAGTTGCCGAGTTTGGAGTTCCCTGATCTAAGCAGCCCCAAGGAAGCTTAAAAACAGCAGTCTGTAGAGATTCTCAGTCATCCAGTTCATGGTTTTTCCCAAAGGTGCTTAAGGAAGGAATTAAATCCTTCCATTCCCCACTATACTGTCAGAGCTGAAGAAGCTTCTTGGATGAAAAGCCAAACGTCTTCAAAGGAAAAAAAACAAGGAAGTCCAGTTGCCTCCTGAAAAAAACATGTTTGGTTAAAAACGGCAGACTTTGATCAAACTCTTGATGAACATATCTTTTCTTTTATGTACACTGAGAGCGTATGCACCAAGACAAATTCCTTGGGTTTCCAATCTCACTTGCCCAATAAAAGATTCTATTCTATTCTATTCTAAACTTGGCTGGGCCTCCGTCATTACACCAGCACCACGGCACAACTGAGGGCTGATAGCTGAGGGCCGTGCTAATACAGTAGCCCTTGACTTACCACCACAATTGAGACCAACATTTTTCTTGTTCCGTGAGACATTTGAGTTTTGCCCCATTTTACGACCTTTCTTGCCAGAGTTGTTAAGTGAATCACTGCAGTTGTAAAGTTAGAAACTCGGTGGTTAAGTGACTTCCGACTTCCCCATTGGCTTTGTTTGTGAGAAAGTCACAAAAGGGGATCACACGATCCCGGGATGCTGCTACGGTCATAAATAGGAGTCAGTTGCCAGGTGTCTAAATTCTGATCACATGATCATGAGGATGCCGCAATGGTCGTAAGTGAGAAAAATGGTCATAAGTCACTTTTTTCAGTGCTGTTGTAACTTTGAACAGTCCCTAAACACTATTGCAAGTCAATGGCTGCCTGTAACTGCCCCCATTGAGGACTTCATGTGTAGATGTGGATGAGAGAGAAAGTGAGAGAAGGAGAAAGAGAGAGAGAGGAAGAGAGGGATACTCACCTGAATAAGTGGACTGTTCAGATGTGTTGAACTTAAGCTCCTATTATCCCAGGCTACGGGATAATAGATGGTCATCAAACCAGGCTGGCACCAGATTGAAGAAGGTCTTAAACTTGGCAACTTTTAAGTTGTGTGGACTTCAGCTCCCAGAATTTCCAACCATGCTAGCTGGGGAATTCTGGGAGCTGAAGCCCACCCAATGTAAAGTTGTTAAGGTTAAAAGTTGTTAAAGATGATTTAGATCTGGACATGGGAGCATAAATTGCATAAACCAATGTGAGTGTAGCTAACACGTTTTCCCTTCAGCTCTTGCTATGTTTTTCATTTTTCTTTTAATAGTTTAAAAAGAAAACATTACAAAGCCCGTGTATGTCTCTGGAAGGAACTGGAAGCCGGCATTCTAAACAGACCTACTGAGGAGCGGGACTCCTTGATCTCTCAGGGAATTATTTCTGAACAAACAGGGTTAGAATAACTTTGCTCCTGTGGCTTCGCCTGAGTTCAAAGCAGGGTGGGTTAAAAAAAAAGTTAGGCAAATTGTGCTGTGTTTACAACAAAGCTTCCTAGGTATTATGAGGGGTTTTTAAAAAGATATATAAAGAAAGGGAAGTTGCATGCAGCGAAGCAAAGCACCAGTCTTGGTTACTTCGTTGATTCAAGGTCTCCAAGCATGACAGCGACCACCTTGTATTCATGGAAATAAAAATAGAGGGCGTGGATAGAGTCTAGTTACTCTAGCTTTTTGCAAAACCAGCCATCCAGCCTCTTTACCCCAAGACAAAAACAGGTGGCTTGTTCTACTTGTTCGATTTTTATGATGTCTTCTGATCAGTGGCAACTTCCTGAACTAGTCCCTGCAATTTTCTGAGCAAGATTTCAGAAGTCGTTTACCATTGCCTTCTTCCTTGGGTTAAGAGAGTGGCTGGCCCAAGGCTCCATGTCCATGGCAGGACTAGAATTCCTGGTCTCCTGGTTTCTAGCCTGATGCCTTAACCTAGTATTTCTTAATCTTGTAATCTTTGAGAGGTGTGGACCTCAACTCCCAGAATTCCCCAGCTAACGTGGCTGGCTGGATAATTCTGGGAGTTGAAGTCCGCACATCCTGAAGTTGCTAAACTGAGAAACACTGCCTTAACCACTACATAAAATTAGCTCGAAAGTAGTGTGGGTATGGAAAAACATCTGGAGGCACAGAAAAATTGGTGATGGGTTGCAAACCTTATTCATGGAAGCTTCTGGTGCTAATATGGCTACTAGTATCGTTTACTTTCCAGTAAATGTCCTTGGACCAACTGAAGGTTTGAACACTCGTAAGAAGGTCTCTAAATCAACATCTGCCATTACCCACCCCCCAAAATTATTTGCTCTGTAAAACTAGAAAAGTAGTGGGCTATCCTGCTGGAATAAAGACAGCATCAAGATATTGGGCTTTTTAAAAATAAGTTGACAGCGAAAAAAATAATAATTAAAAGCTGGGCTCACATTTGCAGTAACTCAGGAAGTTCATTGAACGACCTCCAATGGTTATTTTCTTTAAGTTACAACAATCTATCTTTCTCCAGGTAGCCATGGTGGAGGTGCAACTGGAAGACTATGACTACCCTTGGGAGCTCCTGGTCGCCTTCAGTGCCTGCACGACGGTACTGGTGGCCGTCCATCTCTTTGCTCTTATGGTCAGCACTTGCATCTTGCCCAATATCGAAGCCGTCAGTAACATCCACAACCTCAATTCGGTCAACGAGTCTCCCCACGAACGAATGCACCACTACATTGAGCTGGCCTGGGGCTTCTCCACGGCCTTGGGGATCTTCCTCTTCCTCACTGAAGTGGTGTTGATTTGCTGGGTCAAGTTTATGCCTGTCGGGAACATGGGAACTAGCAGGAAGTGCTGCGCTCCGGAGAGGCTCCATGATGGCAATGCCACCACCTCTACAGACAGCTCTGGCTGGAACGCTGCCATGGCCTCCACGGTGATTATGGTTCCAGTTGGCGTCGTGTTCATCATTTTTGCTTTGCATTTCTACCGTTCCTTGGTGGGGCACAAAACTGATCGGCACCAGCAAGAGCTGGAAGAACTTAACCAGATCAAATATCAGTTGGACGGAGAAGCCACATCTCTGCAAGTGGTATGAGTTGGCAGCCTCACTTGAACTGCAACTGACGTGAACTTTTAGAGAGAAAGGCCCCGCCGTCGGTTGTATCCTGATTTTGTCTCGATGGAAATACTGTTAAGTAACTGCCACAGTTGGAATTTAACCCCAAAGCTGTGATGTTGATGTCACTCCACAGTCTCCCAATATCCCAATAACATTTGTTTGCATTTCCTAGGAGACAATTTTCAAGATCAGAACTTGTTGAAATGGGCTGCTCCTGAAAAGCAGGGAGTGAAATCTAGGGAGCCTTCCCTGGGGAACTTCCCCATTTGGTAGATTTTTGATCGTACAGTAAAATGTTTACAGGAGGCAGTTGTTGCGGGGGAAGGGAATGGACAGCTTTAGTCTCTCCAGGGATGAGACTGTTGCTTTGTCCTGTAGGATTTCAACTTTGTCTGCAGAACTGGAGAAGATAATCAAAAGGTCTTTGGTATTTCTGACATTTCAAAATGGGTGGGTTTGAAAAGGTTAGTGCAGTCCATTCATTTGCTGTTTTGCTTCTCTTCTCATCTTTGTACATATGGCATGGTAGAGATCACCAACCAAGATTGGTTGGGCTAACTTTTGAACAAGTGTTTGAGCTGCTAGGTGCCAAGAAAGAGGCCTAACATTGTGGCCTAATTAGTCCTGACGTTCTCAAGCTGATGTCCTCTTGAGTTTTCACTGTGCAGTTCCCCTTGCTGCTTGTTGGACAACCTGAAAATATCCCTAATACCAAATCTTTTCATCAATTTAACGGAGAGTCGCTGCATCTCCAGAAAGCCTGGCCTTGGATTCTCAAAGGGGGTAGGAAGTACTTGCATCTTTGATTCGGCATTCTAAATGCAATTCTTCCTGTTGGTCCCTTCCCCTGCCCACCCTTCTTGGGATGCCCTGAATCCAACATTCCCAGGCAGAGTGTTTGATCCAGTACCGTGATTGCGAACCTATGGCACGCGTGCCGAAAGTGGCACACAGAGCCATCTCTCCGAGTATATGAGCTGTCGCCTGTTGCTCTTTCGGTTTCCAGCGTGCCAGCCAGATGGTTCTCACATGTGCAGGAGCGCCAGAAACTGGAAAAGCAGCCGCCCAGTGTGCATGCACACACCAGGAAGATGATCATCTGGTTTCTGGTGTGCACATGCGCACAGGCCAGCTGGACTTCACATGCGCATGTGTGCCAGAAACAGGAAGACCAGGTGGCTGGTGCACATGCGTGCGTCAGAAACCAGATCACCTTCCCAGTGCGTGGGCAGCTGCTCTTCCAGTTTCAGGCATGCATGCATGCGCACTCCCATTTCAGCACTTGGTGCCGAAAAGGTTTACCAACACTGATCTAACACATCTGGAAGGCGCTAGGATAGAGGACACTCTGCTGAAGCCAAACTCTTGCATGCAGGCTATGCCATTCCTCAAATGCTTGTTTGCTTACCTCTATGGAAACTTGGCATCAGTTTTGGATCATTGTCAGAGTTGGGGTCAGTACAGAAAGTTGGACTTCTGACCCAGGAATTCCTAGGACATGCATATTATCCCCATATATGTGCTTTGCCTCCAGTCATAAATTGTCTGCCCCTCCCTAGGGATCCTTATTTATAGAGACAAAGTCACACAGTATCTTGGGGGGCAGGGGGGAGGGAGGTAGGACAGACTGCTTGGCTCCACTGGGAGATGGCTTCATTGCTTGGGGTATTTTTCCAGAGGAGGAAGCAGACTATTGGGGTGTGGTGGAAGTTAAATAAATCTAAGTCCAATTTAGGAATTTTGGGGGTTGGGGTGGAATTTTGTTTGCCTCTTGCGTTTTAAGAACAGTCTCAGTCCTTGGTAGGAAGAGCCACTGAACGTTAAAACCAATCTTCCCCCTCTTCATCTTCCTCAACTTCCTGTCGTGCACAGATGTGGACCAGAATCTTATCTCATGGATGAAGATGCTGAGAGCGGCAGTTGTAGACAGGAAATGCCACATTCTAGAAGGCAGTGCCTGAAGTGAGAACATTAGAGCAAGATATCACAGGCAGCTCTATCAAATATATCACAAGACATACATATGGGTCTTTATCCAAGTGAACGGTCACAGTGGAAGCAGGTTTCCTGCTGAACAGGAAGTGGAGCAGCTTAAGCCTTCAGTCTTCAGCTGTTCATCTCTTCAGGAACGCTCAGATGTTCTCCCTTAAGAGTTCTGCTTCCTCAAGATTAGGAGCCACATGGATCCATTGGTTATTTTTTGGGGGAGCAAAGTAGTTAGAGATAATTTGGAAAGATGGGAAAGAGATTTTTGAATGGATAAAAATAACCCGTCCTTTATCATGGATTCTACAGCTGTTTTATTGGAAAAGAAAAACACATCTTCAAGATGTACCGGTACATGTAGGAAGATGTGGGGGTGGGGGTGGGTGTCAAACCAGAATTAGATGTTCAGGAAGCCCAGTTGACATTCCCAGGAGGTCAGTGTTTCTCAACCTCTGCAACTGTTAAGATGCATGGACTTCAACTCCCAGAATTCCCCAGCCAGCATGGGAGGGTGAATTCTTCAATTCTGGAGGTTGAAGTCCATGCATCTAAAAAGTTGCCAAGGTTGAAAAGCAAGAGTGCTAGATCATGCAAGCAGTAATGAGAAGAAAATGCATGGAAGTTGGCTGGGGATACTGCTAAAAATATTTGAAGCACAGTGGCTGCTAAATGCTCAACACTTTGTTCTATCAAGCAATGCTTTACTTTCCGGTTAAAAAATGAATTTAGTCTTAATGAGGCCAGCTCAATTACTTGTACATCTCAGAGCTTGGCTTTTAAAAGTATTAGAGAAAATAGTTTCGTTTACATCAGCCGCCCTGAGTCTCTGGAGAAGGCGGCATATAAATCGAACTAATAAATAAATAAATAAATAAATAAGCAAGCTTTGGCTAGCCTGGCTTCTTCTGAATGCACTGGAACACAGCTTCCCTAACTCTTGAGTTGGAATGATCATAACTTTTGTAGTCCATTGCATCTGAGTGGCAAAGGTGGTTTACATCTTAATCATGCAGGGTTAGAGTTTTTACACTTGTGAATGGTACACAATTAAGAGCTTGGTACACGCTTTACCATGTATTCTCATTTCTATTAATGAAGGACAGCGACTGCCAATAGGGGCATGTTTATATATATATATTTAAAATAAAATGTTTTTAAAGAAAAAAAATTGAAGTTTGTCTAAGTCAAATTATTAAAATAATAGACTGAAATTAAATATGTCCCTCATCAGAGTTCTTTAGCCCAACTTTTGCACTAACATCCTCAACATGCTCAGATTTTATTACACAGGATTGTGTATAGGAAGATTCACCCAAGTTGAGACATGCTCAACCTGGATTGGATGTTCTCTTTCATCTGCCACTGTTGTATTGTAGACATACTCAAAACATTTTATCGTTGATGCTTAGGTTGCATCTTGGGGGTGGGATGCAAATTTATCCCTAATCAGGAAAAAAAAAAATCCAGATCAGATTCCTAAGGGACTTTTCCTGCTGCAGGGGCTATAAAGTTTAAAAGGCCAGATTGGTGGTCTATCTTGACAGATGCTTACTGGAATAGCATTTTGGGCAGATTGAACTCTGATCTGCTCTGTTTAGTGAAAAGATGGTGCGGAACATGGGATATTCAGAATTTCTGATTTGTGGGTTCTGCTTTGCTGTTTGAAGTTTTCAGGCAGTTATATCAGAGATTTTTCTTGATCTTGCCAAATCTTTCCTTGATTTGGTGGCGCAGCAGACTAAAGTGCTGTTAAAGTAGCACCAGCTGCCTGCAATTACTGCAAGTTCAAATCTCACCAGGCTCAAGGTTGACTCAGCCTTCCATCCTTCCGAGGTAGCTAAAATGAGGACCTGGTTTGTGGGGGCAATAAGCTGACTTTGTATAAAAAAGAACACCACTTATGGGGGGCTGAAAGCCCTACTAAGCAGGTATATACAAAAGTATGAAGGCTATTGCTTAACGCATTGTAAGCCGCCCTGAGTCTCCGGAAAAGGGCGGCATATAAATCGAACCAATAAATAAGTTAATTTCAATAGTTCCATATAATTTCCATTTAATGTTTCTCACAATTCAAATGCTAACTGAAACATGAGGGGGGAAGGAAACAGAATAGATGTATTTCTCCCTTACTTTGTCACTATATATTATCTGCATTTTCAAATTCTTAAGGCAGCTGTTTAGGGGAACCCATAGTTATTGAAAGCAGACAATCTATTTACAGTCCAAAAGATTAGAAGGGTTAGAATTAGCTTTGTCCAATTAATTTTGGGCCTAACAAGTCAATTGGGCCTAACAATACAAGTTTACTGTATAGAGCAGGGGTGTCAAACTAGTGGCCCATAGGCCGGATGCATCACGCGCAGGCCATGGCCATCCCAGCTCCACAAAGGGGAAAAAACTGCAATACGTCACATGATGGTCTGACGCTGCAAGTGTAACACCCGTAGTATAGAGAAAAAACATAGCAGTGAATCAACTGGAAATATATCCAGCCTTTTGCATTTATTTTGAATCTATTAAAAGCTGTAGATAAAGAGTAAACATCATTCAAATTAGCAGAAAGACATCACATATAGCTTAGTACCATAGATATGTTATCTTGTATTCAGGTAGGAATTTGTTAAATCATACAATTTGACCACTACTGCATCATCATTTGCAGGTTGTACACATAGTTGATCTTGCTGATCTCAAGAGTTAACTGGATCTGAAACCACTAGGAAGCCCAAAAAACATGCTGGGAGAAAGCAAAGGGATGGCATATCCTTACTGTTCCCAAGAAAATAATGACAATGTACTGGCCAGGGGTCAATCTTCATGTCAACAAGTCAATTTTTAAAAAAACTATATATATCTCTATCTGCTATTCCCAACATTTTGTAAAAATGAAAAGTCTGCTGTGGCAATCAATTCTGCTCAAGGGTTATTGGCATAGCCGTGTGTCAGTTTCACTAAATAAATTAGACCAGGAAATAAATTCCATAGGAAGGCTAAAACTATATTGAGATTGGCTATAATAATAATATTGTGCTATATCACTTCCTCCTTCTTAGACTTCAGTGAAAAAGGATGGCATCTGCCTGAACCACTTCCAAATGTTATCTCACTGTTTTGGTCTTAAACGGCGTTTTAACTGCTTTTGTTTAGGTAACAGTTCCTGCCTATTTATGTTATAATCATCTTCTTTACTGTCTGTCAAGTAGGAACTGGTATTTAGGCTGGGCCTGTTTGCTGCTGCTTCAAATCACTGTTGCTTGTAAGATATGGGTATTTATTTGGGCTTCATTGGGTAAAGACCTTGTAATTTACATTCAAGAGACAGAAGGGTTTTAAACATCCATTCCCACACCTTTGGTCGAAGTGTAGCATGTATGAAGCCTACTCAGTGCAGAATAAGACAATACACTTTACCCTTGAAATTCCAGAAATACCTAAATTGAATTCTGCTTGAAATCAATCATGGCAAGAATCAAACTAGCATTTAGGAAGAACCAGATCTTCTCTCAGCAGGCTCCTTGTATTGAAGACTACAAGCCATTATTTCACTCAGCGTAATTTATTTTAAAGGATTCTTGTAATTATGGAACGGACGTTGTGTTCCTGAACGTCCATTTTCGGGGCGCTGCGACTCCAATCCATGGACGGGTAGCTTCTCCTAGTTGCTGGGCAGAACTGAGTGCTAAACCTTCCCATTGTCAGGCCACGCCCACCTAGACCAATCAACTTCAGTCTTTCCTCACGAAGGCGCAAGAACCAGGTCTACTATGAAAAACACAACAAATTTAATCAAGGTAAACAACATAAACAGGAAGCCGAATGGGTGGGTATGGATTGGAGTCGCAGCGCCCCGAAAATGGACGTTCAGGAACACAACGTCCGTTTTCCATTGCACTGCTCCTCCAATCCATGGACGGGGATATACCCAAGTTCAGGAGCTCAGGGCGGGAGGCTGACTGGAAACCTCAGCCTGAGGCGTGGCCACTTGTTGTAAAACTCTGCGTCCAAACGCTGCATCGGACGAGGCGTACTGATTAATTTTGTAGTGCCGGATAAAAGAAGTGTCAGAAGCCCATGAGGCTGCTCTACAGATTTCAGACACTGAGGCGTTCGTAGACCAAGCTGCAGATGCGGCTGCACTGCGTGTTGAATGTGCGTAGATCTTAGCCGGACGGGGGCGTTGTCGGATGTCGTAGGCAGTTGTGATGCAAGCTTTAATCCACCTGGCAATTGTGGTAGATGAGACCTTCTTCCCCATAGAAGAAGGTGTGAAAGACACAAACAAGGATTCAGTCTGCCGAAAGGACTCAGTACGTTTGATATAATGCCTGAGAGCACGCCGAACATCCAAGGTATGCCATAAGGATTCAGTCTGATGACGAGGGTTCGGACAAAAGTTAGGCAGAACCAACTCTTGTGTGCGGTGGAATCTTGAGTTTATCTTGGGTAAGAAAGATGGATCCAAACGCAGGACCACTCTGTCACTATGAAAAATACAAAGGTCCTTGTGGACTGATAGCGCCGTGAGCTCAGATACGCGTCGAGCCGATGTAATGGCTAAAAGGAAGGTGACTTTAAGTGTCAGAAATTTTAAAGACACTGACGCCAATGGCTCGAATGTAAGCGCTTGAAGAACTAACGGAAGATCCCAGGAAGGGTACCTATGTACCACCGGTGGTGAGATGTTGGAGGCACCATGCAGGAAACTTTTAATCCTAGGATTATGCGAAAGAATACGGTGTTCTTCGCACCTAACGACCGTGGACAAGGCGGCCACCTGGCGACGAAGCGTGGTAGGAGCAAGACCTTTGGCTAAACCATCATGTAAGAAGTCCAGAACATCCGGGATATCTGCAGAGGTCGGGTCCACGTGATGGGCCCCACACCAGGAAGAAAATGTACGCCACGTACACTCATAAATCCTAGTGGTGGACGGGCGTCTGGCAGCTTGGATCACCTTTATGACGTCGGAAGACAGTCTGTCCTTCTGTAGCTGGAGCCGCTCAAGCGCCAAGCGGCCAATCGGAGCCACCCTGGATCGGGGTGGAAGACGGCCCCTTGGCTGAGCATCTCTTCCCCCAGTGGTATTACCCACGGAGGAGAAGTTGACAGTTCCAGAAGGTCTGCATACCAAGGCCGGCGAGGCCACTGAGGTGCTATCAGAATCAGCTCGGCTCTCTCCAACAACAACTTCCGAATCAGTCTTGGAATCAGCGGCAAGGGAGGAAAAGCATAGAGTAGCCCCGGAGGCCAGTGACAGCGTAGAGCGTCGTAACCCTCTGCACCGATGGATGGGTAACGCGTGTAGAACCTCTTTAGTTGGGCGTTCTGGGGCGTGGCGAAGAGGTCCACCTGAGGACGGCCAAATTGTTGCACTATCAGATCGAAGAGGGCAGGCTTGAGAGACCACTCTGCAGGGTCCAAGAGCTCCCTGCTGAGCCAGTCCGCCACGATGTTGTTCTGTCCCGAGATGTGGTCTGCCACCAGAGATGCTGTGTGCCTTTCCGCCCACGCCAACAAGCTCTCCGACTCCATCATCAGGGACCTGGAGCGTGTGCCTCCCTCCCGATTTATATGTGCCTTGGTGGTGACGTTGTCCGTCCGGACCAGCACATGTTGTCCCTCCAAGGTGTGAACAAAATGGTGCAAGGCGAGACGAACAGCCCTCAACTCCAGCAAATTGATGCTGTTCGTCTGCTCCGCCGGAGACCACTGACCTTGAATCACTGCATTCTGTAGATGGGCTCCCCAGCCCGACAGGCTGGCATCGGTAACTAGAACCACCCGGTCCGGTTCGAGAAAGACACATCCTTTCTGCAGTGCGGGGGACCTCCACCATGTGAGTGACAGTCGAGCTTGTGCGGTTAAGGCAATCTGATGGGAAGACGAGCCGCGTCTCGCTCTCTGGAAGGGAAGCAACAGCCACTGAAGTGGGCGGGAATGTCTGCGTGCCCACGGAACAACATGGATGCAGGATATTAACTTCCCCAACAATTGATTCAACAGGAGCAGCGACACTTTCCTCTGGGACTGGACTTGCCTCACCATAGACCTGATGTCGCGAACGCGATCTGGGGAGAGAAACACCTGACCCAGCTGGGAATCGATCACTGCGCCCAGGTGTTGGAGCCGAGTCGTAGGCGTCAGATGGCTCTTTTGCCAGTTGATAGAGAAACCGTGGTTCTGGAACGTCTGGAGGACCACCTCCA